GTTCACAGATACATCTCTGAATTAGCTTTTTTTTTTTAACTCAAAAAAATAATTCGAAGATGCATCTTCAAACTAGGTAAACAGATTTAAACGCGCGCCAAACTCTCCCTCTTTTATCCTTCTTCATTTTTAGTCAAAAAGTTTTTCTCTCCCTCCCTCTACCCATTTTCAGTTCGCACACTCCCTCAACTTTTAAAGCAACTTCAGATCCTGTACTTGTATCTTACCATTCTCAACTCTCTATAACTATTACGTCTAATAATTTACACCCTCATTAACATATTTTTGTGTAAATTTCTCATTTAGTTTATTTATAATTTTGATTAATGTATTTTCTCAATAGGTTACTTTTAAATAGATTATGTGTATGATCTATTTCTATCATTTGGATGATTTGGATGAGTTTTGGGATGGTTATGGCAAAGTAAGAGATGTTTCTGCCATTGAAATAAAAAAACCAAAGCTTTTTTTAGAGATGTATCTCTGAATTGTGTTCTTTCTGGTGTTTAGAGATATATCTCCGAATTCTTTTCTTCCTCATGCACTGATATCTTTTGTTATATTTTTTTAAGGACAATGGCTACAAACAACGACAGGATGAGACTCGGCCTTCCACCATAATCGCGTTTGTTCATCACGAGAGGGATCATAAGCATGTGTGGGCTAGAGTTGTCCCTAAGTCTCAAGACAGGGAAGCATCAAATTCAAGGAGTCGACTATCAAAGGGATCATCATCTCAGGCTCGTGCACTCCAAGAGGAGGCGGCCCCAACTGCATATAAGGCCCCACTTGCCGACCCTTATCCAGGAGGGCCCATAGACACTTCATTACTAATATACTTTGGACACCATGTGGCTCCGTATATCTCTGACGGAGAGATATATTTTTTAACGGTTCTATTTTTTATATTTTACCAAATTCAAATCGACTAAGTCTATTTTATTTTGTTTTTAACAGGAATGAGAGTGTTTATAATCAATTAACCATTCCAGAAAGATTCACGGGCTTTCTCAACCTCAGGAAGAGTGGTTCCTTAATGTACTCCGGTCCTCTGGTCTTGCAGGTCTTTGTGTTTCCGAGTGCAACATCATCAGCCATGGCATGTAGGTGGAATTTGCTGAGAGATGGCATAGCAAAACATCATCTTTCCACCTCTCCATTGGAAATATGACAATTAAATTAGATGATGTTGCTTATCTCTTACACCTTTCCATTAGAGGAAGATTGATTGATCATTCTAAGATCATCAAGGTTGGTGTAGTGGAGATAATGGTGGTTTATTTGAGAGCTGACCCTGAGGAAGCTATGAAGCAGTGTAACAACACCAGAGGTGCACATGCTAAATATTCTTGGTTGGAGACGTTGTATAACGACAACTTGGAGATAATCGATAATTTATAAGTTGGCTACCACAGGGAGTATGCATTGAGGTGTTTCTTCTAATTCTTGGTTGGCACGTCTGTGTTTGTGGATACAATTGTAACCTATGTGGATGTGGCATACCTCAAGTGTTTCATCGAATTATAGGTTATTCACGAGTGGAACTGGGGGTCGCATGCTTGGTATACCTGTACTCCAAGTTGAGCGAAGGTTGTCGTTGGACGACAAAACAAATGAGATGCTCCTACACATTGTTGACGGTAATTTCCATAGCCACTATTAAGTGAAAAACTTTTTTTTTTCACACTTGTTACTATTTTTTTTATTCGTTTTCAGGGATAAATCCTTACCCATTATCATCGCATACACGGGTTTGGACATGACCCATCGTATACTAACGATTACCCATATGATTGCATATATTTCCCGCACAAAAGGAATGATGGTGTAGTGTCGTTCCGTGTCTATATTGAACGGACTCAGCATGATGGCATCGTCTGGATGCCACACACTACTCTCCGAGATAAAATTCCATTCGGCCATATTTCATTATACTCCAGATGGCTGGAATGCTAGACTAATATCATGTGCAAGTATCTGCCAGAGCCATGCATGCGGCAATTTAGGTACATGCAAATCATTATGAGGTCCCCCTTCTAGGTTGCTCTTTAGAGTATTGTCCACAAACAACTGGATGACATTCTGGCAGATTTTGAGAGTCACCTAGTACCTGAGGAGTATAAGAGTCAGGCAACCACATTTGAGTGGTCTTATATGGATGGTTACATGGCTTAATTCTATTCTATGTCACACCCTTACATGACAACATACACTCCTGGATGTCCACCTAAGCCTGCTCATGAGGAGATCCTAAAGAATGAGCAGCAGGGATGATCATGTCCTTGATGTGTTGTCGATCTGTCAAAATATTATGTGAATGACAGAAGAGTGTATCAAGTCTGAGCTGTTTGAAAGAGGTGGCGATGAAGCAGTTGCCTTAGCACGTTCCATTCTTACCGAGGCACAAAATGCCCCAAATTACCGTAGGCAGAGAAGGAGTCAGAGTGTTAGGATTAGACATACTTGGTATGTTATGCATTTGATTGTATTTTGTATATTTTCCCATACTTTGATAATAATTTTTGTACTATGTTTGTCTTACTGATTAATAAACGCATTACTTTATTCAATGATATTTGTGTTTATTAATCTTTGAAACAAATAATGAAAATGTTAATCGAATTAAAATTACTTTGGATTGAAAAAACTACAATCTCAATAAATTGTTTCTGCACAAAAACTTGCAGGCAAGACTTCTGAGATGTATTTCTGAATTTACTTCACACATAGTTCGCAGATACATCTCCAAACTATTTTTTTTAACAAATGTGATAGTTTTTTATCTACGGAAGAAGAAAGGTAACTTCAGAGATGTATCTGCGAATTAACCTTGGATTAGGCAAAATAAGATATTTAACGCGTTCGGAGATGTATCTCCTAATAAACCCAAGAATATTTTGGGGTTTTCATAAGTACGCCTCACTATATAGGATGTAATGAGAAATTACTGTATAAAATAACATGGGGATTTCTTATGCCAGCCTATGTCATTAAAAATAACCATATGAAAATCTAATTTTGCCCATGCGTTCTCGGAAGTGTATTTTTGGAACACACTTTTTTTTGTTATACTTCAGTTAATTTCAGATATGCATTTACAGGAGGGAATTGGAAATGTATTTGGGGTGCATTTCCGATTTATTTCTGCGTGATATCTGAGATTTCTTAAGCTAAACTATGGTCTGTAGTTGAGGTGCTTTAGGAAATACAACTACGGGTCTCTCCCGTAAATGTATTTTTGATTAATTTCCTACTCTTTTATAAGATCTTGCCCATCAAAGATTTGACTAAAGATGCTTCCGAAAATACATTTCTGATAACTGAGTACATTTAGAAAAACATACGGTTTGTTAAGAAATTCCAAATAGCATTATGCAACAAGGCCCAAACAACAAACACAAGGCCCTTACAAAGCCCATCACGAAAAGCCCATCTAAATATATAAATAACAACCTAAATAAAATTTTCTGGTACTTAACGTGTTTCTGTTGATTGACAGTGACTTACACGTTAATGCCAGAAAAATTGACGGTGGACGCAACGGAATATTACTATAGAATAATAATTTCTCCTAATTCCATTTCCATTTTTATCGAAACTTGAATTACGATAAATAAACACACGTTACTTTCTTCTCTCTCTGTTCTCTATAGAATCACCTCCAAATCAACACCATTTCTCATTTCTCATGGGCAAGATCAAATCCTTCAAACAAGAATTCTCACTCGGTTCATTTTCATCTCAATTTTTTCTCACATTTCAATCTATAATATCATTATTATATTATTACATTAATGTTCTTGATTTTAATTCGATCCAGATGAACGACGAAAGGAATCTCAAAGCATCTTAGTTAAATATCCAGATCGAGTTCCTGTATGATTTTCTTTTTACCTCCAATTTTTTCTCTATTTTTTGATTTTTTTTCTTCATATTTTTATTTATTTATCTTCTTGTTCTTGATTTTATTATTTTAGGTCATTATTGAGAAATATTCCAGAACAGACCTACCTGAATTGGACAAGAAGAAGTAGGTTTTCATTTTATGAATTTTTGTCTAATTTAGGTTATTTAATCTTAGTATATACTTTTTCTGCCAAAAACCCTAACCTGCATTAACAATTCTCTTATTTCGGGGCTTTTCCAATTGTGCATTTCAGAATTGTCAACATCATCATTATAATTTTTAATTTTTTTTTATAAGAATTAATATGTTAATTGCTATGTTAGTATTTTCTCATTCGCAGGGATCGAATCTTTTATAATCTCTTGTGTTTTCTTTCTCTCTTTTAGGTATTTGGTTCCGCGGGATATGTCTGTTGGACAGTTTATTCACATTTTAAGTAGTAGGCTAAGTTTGATGCCGGGGAAAGCTCTGTTTATTTTTGTGAAAAACACGCTACCTCAAACTGGTAAATGTGTCTTACATTATCGATAACTAGTTGTTAGTTACGATTATGTGAAAACTGTTATATGGAAGCTAATATATGTTTTGAATGTGTGTTTGTGATTCTATTATCAACAGCTAGTCTTATGAACTCTATCTACCAAACTTACAAGGATGAGGATGGGTTTCTGTATATGTGTTACAGCAGCGAGAAAACATTCGGTTAACTTGGTTGGTTGCATAACTTGCATTTCATGATTAATTTCTTCAGTATTTGCAAATTGTTGTAAATAAATTCAGTACATAATGTACTTGTATATGTATGACATGACAATACCATAATCTTTGGTGTGTACAACGATTTATTGTACTTTAAATAAAATGTATATTTCAAGGATTTAGATAGATAGCCCATATTTTTTTTCTTCATGTTAACAATAGAAGACTTGGAATATGTATTAGTGTATGAAATGTACATAAATTGAATCCTGTTATAGTCATAGAAATCAATGTGTACAAGGTGTAATGGCTTTGTAGAATTTGAAGGAGCATTACTGGTAATTTGTTTGATTCTTCGATTTATTCTGTGCTTCCCCAAATCCTTGACACAGTTTCAGGGCAAGACATCAACCACTCCAAGAACTGTAACCTCGGCATCTATATAGCAAGTGTCCTTCACCAGAAACCCAGAGTATTGACCTGGTGGAATTACTGATCAAAAGAAATCCTAAAAAACCATGTTCATGACTTGAGGCACTAAACCAGTTAATGGATGCGAGTGGAGGACAAAAAATATATAGAACTATTAATTAGTAGATCAAACATATGCTTTTCCAGTTTGATGCTTGCCTTGCTTTTTGATCAAATATGCGTAGTGTACTTTGTGTATATATTTTGGAACCTGGTGAAAGGGCTGTTGGGTTAACTAAAGTTAGGTATAAAGCAAGATATTTGCCCAATTCAATGCCTCTTCCTTTGGGATAAAGTTTTATTTGCCTGCAAAAATTAGCATTATTGTTGATAACTTGTCAATTTCAAGTTGAGTTCAAACAAAACTCTGAATGGAGGTAATGTATTTGTACCACTTTAAGTTTCTAACATTGAATGGTTCAGATTCACAACATTCTGAATCTAACTTTGAGAAGTCCTTGATCTCCCAGACATGCTTGAAGGGTAGGGCATCCTTCATCATTGTTAAAGATTCCCCTTTACCTGTGTTTCTTTCCCTGCAAATGAAGACCTCTGCTCCAAATGCACATATATCATCTACCAGATAACCTTTAGAGCCAAGATTGAAATCCTTGAGAGAAATGAATTGATCGAATCCCCATTCAACTTTCATTCTGTGAAATCTCCATTCCTTTTTCCCAGCATCTATTAAGTGCAGTAAACCAAAAATGGTAAGAGACCCTAGTTGTTTGTTGATTGTAGTTTATACAGCTATGTTCTACTAAATACCTTGTACAACTAGGTAGTTGTCATTGTTGTGATCAAACAAAAACAACTTAAAATTCACATAAATTTCCCAACCAGGATGAAGTGAGCTTGATTCTTCCAACACCAAGTATAGTGAAATATAATCCTTTACATTCTTGCTCTTGCTTCCACTTGGGTACAAAACTAACTTCCTGTGAGGCATAATCACATTTTTAACATACATTCACTGAGTTAGATACCAAAATTAACATTCATAAGATTATTTTTTACAATAATATATATAATTTATACCATTTTAGGCCTCCAGCTTCAAATTTACCCGAATCATATCTCTCAATAGAATTTTTAGGGAGAAGCGAAAATGGTATTTTCATCATTTAATGAGCTGGTGAAGCTTCTACTATAGATCTAGAAATACCTGCAATTTTATTTTTATAATTAAATCACACATAATAATCTCTATATAATAAAAATTATATAAAAAAAAACAGACAAACGAGCAAAAATCTGCAGCGCTACCCTTTTAAATAATACAGAATAAGCAAAAGTATATTGTATCCAATAAAAGAGAGGGAGGGGAACAAACCATCATCTTTGGTATCCATGACTAGATGTATATATGTATGATAATGAGTTCAAAAATTTGGTTATATTAAAGAGAGTTGAAATTTGTAGTAGGAATACATTCTCTACAAAAACAATATAGTATATTTATTAAAAGTTGATTAATATGTAGATTAGGGATATTCCTTGCTTCAAAGTGTATATTGGAAGAAAATAAATACCATCTTATAAACTAACATGTATCTTATAAACTAACATGTATCTAATCGTACCTAATCGTACCTGATCAGGAGGATCGTCAATGGTTCACGAGTTTGAGTTGAATAGCGGTTGAAAGTGAAGTGGAGGAGAGAGGTGTATCTGTAAGGTACTCCGATGCTAAAGTAAGAAGGGATACAATCAGAGTGCAAGTACGAAAGTGAATAAGTGAATGAATATTCAACCCTCTTGAGTTAGAGGGTATTTATAGTCCCCAACGCTGGGCCAAGGTCCTCATGTTGGGTTGATTGGGCAGACCCAAAATGGAGACTGCTAGGACCTACGTGTGTAGTGAAGACCAGCATGTGGTCTCCATCCTGGATGAATTGCTTTGAATTATCAAGGAGGTGTGGAGACGGTCTTTTCGGGGTCAAGAGGACTCCGTGACATTTAGAGACATTGGGTGCGTGCCCTACGAGGAGGGAACGTCGTGCTGACCACCTGGACATGTCTGACTTTCCTCGACAGTCAAGTGGTGAGGATGTCCTCAGAGGGCACGTGGAGGATCGATCCTCGGCGTGAGAGGAGAAGATCCTGCCCGGCGTGGGTCAAGGGAATACTCATTATTGCTGGGCTTCTCCTACATCATAGTTGAACTGGGCCTTGTATGGTGTTCGGATTGAGTGTGGACCCAGTCCAGAACATGAGTCCCCCAAGTCATTGCTCCTAAGGGGATGAGCTATGACTTAAGACCAACTCGTTTGTCTGACAGGCGTAGCTCGTCGGGGCGCCATATATCACCAAAAAATGAGGACGACCTTATATGGTAGCTATTTAGGATAGAAGTCGGAGCGTGTTCGCGCGCGGGGGAGGGGGGGTCCCTATGCTCCTCGACTCACGTGGAGATGAAAAGTTTACATTATATTTTACTTCCCAGGCCACATGGTGTAGCCTTTAGGGTAGAATGACGGCCTAGGGAGTAGGGGTCATCATGACTTGAACGCGTGGGCGGCAGAGAAGTGAGTCGTTGACACGTGATTCGATACGATGTTTCGTCTTTCGCGCAGGTTTTATAAATAGTGTTCAAGGGCTCATATGCAGTGTTTTCAAATTCTTGCTCTTATCTTTCTCCTCATTACCGTTAGTTTCCTCAAGTAAGTATTCGTTCTGCGATTACTCTTGCCCATATATGGATTTCATACTTTATAGAAATTTTCGGAGGGGTATTGCCTGTGGGATTCATGGATTTCTTGATGAATTTCATTATCTGGGGGATTTTACCTCGGGATTCATACTTCTCCTCGCGAGACTCATCAGCTTTGATGAATTATTTACCCTGGGGTGGCAAAATCCCCATGAAACTCATGAGTTTGCTCGTGGAATTCATTCACTCCCCGCAAAACTCATGAGACTGTTTGTAATAATCATGGGTTTCCTCGAGGTCTTCATGAGTTCCTCGCGATCTCTATGAGTTCTTTGCGGTCTTCATGGGTCTGCTCGCTTCTCGCTAAATGAGGGATTGTCGACGTGGTTTGGTCACAGACACCCCTCTCACTTGGTTTGTGGTGGAGAAGTGGATTTGATTTATCTGTCGAATTCACTGGTTTCCTGTATTTTACAGGTGAAATGGTCCAACCAGTCGACGTGGCCTCCACAGTCGAGCATGTCGAGGTAGATGGGGCGAGCGGAGTCGATGAAGGTATCCATTTGGTCGACGTTATCACCGATGAGTCATTGTCCTAGGTTAGGCCAGAGCCCTGGGGAATAAGCTCGGTCTATAATAATGCTCGGAGGGAAGCGTATACGGTCGCCGAATATAGCGGTGACCAAGAGGGTTTTAGACGAAACTTCATGATCTTCTGCTCGTTCGCTACGGCCAGAATATGCTTCTGCTTCCAAGAGGACCGTTTCCCCATGTAAGAAATTGCCTTTAAAGACTTGGGGCTTCGTCTTCCCTTTAGCGACTTTCAAATGGATGTCTTTAATAATTTGTCTCTGGAACCTTCCCAATTGCATTCTAACGCGATCGCCTTCATATGGGCATTTGAGATTGTTTGTCGATATCTTGGAATTGGAGCGACGATTCCCCTGTTCTTCAGGTGTTTTCACCTTCAGCGGAAGTCTAGAGGAGAAAAGTTATAAATGCTTAATTCATGTTAAAATGTCTTATTAAAACCTAACATTTATCTTACTTAAATGATAAGTTCTTAACATAAAAACCTCAACTAATGAATAAAGGTGATATTGTGTAAGTCTGCTTTGGTTTTGTTATCATTTGTGCAAGTTTTGGCCATTAAAGAAAAACCAGAAAACAAAAACTTCACTAAGCGAAAGTTGCAGCGAAAAGTTCACTTAACGAACATCAAGCGAAGTGAAGGCAGAAGCAAATCAGCAAGTTTTGCCAGCAGCGAGGAGAAGCGAAGCAGTTCGCTTAGCGAATCGGGCATTCGCTTAGAAAAACAGGGTGGTTAAAGGAAGATATTTTGAAAAGACTTCAGGATGAAGAAAGCAACTTCCCTAAGAGAGCATCAATTCGCTTAGCGAACTTTGGCGGTTTCAGAAGACAAGTTGATTTGAAAACATAGCATAGAAGCAAAGACTTCGCTTAGCGAAATCTAGTTCGCTTAGCGAACTCATGCGGCCATAACTACTATAAATAGGACAAATACTCAGTTCAGCTGAATCATTCACTTTCTATCTTTTAATACATTATATTTTTATAGTAGAAGTAGGAATATAGGAGGATTTAGGTAGAAGGGTTGGATACACATCAAGAGTCGGGAAATCGTCATTGATGTCGTTTAAACTCAAATCGTCCATTGTGCTTCAAACTACCATGAGTAGTTAAATCCCTCTCTTGTTGGGATTGATCATCATTCACCGAAACAATATGTATTTTATTTAATCGTGGCGTTATATTCAATTTATGTTTGAGTCATTATCGTAGTTATCTTTGCTTTACCGTTTATTTCATGGATTGAATTGATATTGACAAATACGGTTCTATTCTCGATCCAAGATAACAACTATTAAACTCTAAATTCTAGACATAGATTTAGGTTTAGTATTCACTAAAAGTATCAAATAGTAATGAAATTCTGATATCAGATATGTGATGTCGAAAGAGATGTCACGACACAAATATCTGTTTGCAAGTAAGGTGCAGTAAAATCAAAAGCAGTAAAAATACAAGAGATTATTCACCCAGTTCAGTGTACAACAACACCTACTCTGGGAACTACCAAGCTAGGGACAAGTTTACTAAATAGTATCAATTCATAGACCCTCAGTAAACAACCAGTTTATGATCTAATCACTTAATCACTACACAAGCTAAACTTCTACCTAAGACTCACCTAGGTATGAGGCCATCCTCAAATCCCTTCAATCACTTACAAAATTGATAAGTTTGAAACACTTTAATCATTTAATGCTTAAAAGCTTATGAATGATACACAATTAACAACTCAAATAACAACTCAAGTACTTAAACTAATACTTAGAGTGTATTACAAATAACAAGCCTAAACTTCTAATCAGAAAGAAAGTATTCTTCTTCAAAATTTGCTTGACTTTGAATAAGGTAACGAGTCCTTATATATGCGCAGCTTTGGGTTTGGGCTTGAAAACAAATATTCAAATCTTTTGAATATTTCCATAAAAACAGGCTAAGATATAATTATGCAATTTGAAAAATATTCCTCCATATTTTTTGCAACCTGTAGTTCACAAATCCTGAGTTATAGAGTGTTGGAAATCAGGAAACAAAAGACTTAACTGATTTTGGGCTGAGATCAGTTCAGTATGCAGATGTCAACACATCTGCTTTGACATCATTCAAAACATTTTTGCTCCAAATGTTAATACATTTAGAAAAACATTAACAAGTCTTCGTTTTACCAAAATTGCTACCAATAAACACTTACAAACTCCCCCTTTGGCGAATTTTGGCTAAAACATTGTTAGAGTATATTATCAGAGCAACAACACAATCATCAGAGCATTATCAGGACAACAGTAAGTAAGGAAATAAAAACATACATTCAGTTAGCAGTTAGCTGTTAGCACGGGGATATGTATAAACATCTTCTGGGACATGAGGCTCCCCCTCAAGTATTGATCTCCCCCTCAATCAAAGGTCAGTCAGAGGTTAGTAGTTAGTCACTCACTCACTCATTTTCTCTCCCCCTTTTTAGACATAATATGCCAAAGAAAAGATGTAATCAAAGGAATATCAGTATTAGTGTACAGACCATAAAATTCAAATGTCAAGAACATGTAAGTGCCAAAAAAAAGAAACAAAGTGTTCAGAGAAACATCAAATAGTCTAATTGTTATCCTGACCAATTGACTTGGTTGAACCAGAACTTCTTTCCTCACTGGAATCTTCACCTTCAGAGCTCACTACATCATCAAGGTTGCTATCCTTTTACAGGTCCTTGATCATCTTTTCAAAGACTAGCTTCCTAGCTGAGCTCACTCTGATCACATCATCTAATTCCTCGCAAGCTTCCTTTAGTTCATTGATCATTTCATCCTTAGTGGAGGTCTTGTCAGTAGGAGCAGATGTTAAAATAATGTCTAGGACATGTTTTCCTGAAAAGAGCTTAAAGTGGAGGGTCAAGGCAGACTCCCTCTTGCATACAATATCATTTCCACTTAGGACTCCAGGGTGCTGATTTAGGATAATTCCACAGAGGAAGAAAGGGAAAGCAATTGGCATCTTAATAGCACAAGTTCCTGCATGTTTGATGGTCTGATCAAAGATATAAGTCCCATAATAAAAAAGTTTTTGGTTTCCAATAGCATAAATGAAATTTCCTATACCAATGGAGATGGTTGA